TCATGATCTACATAAAAATCTACAGTTTTATAAGCAAAATAGGGCTCTGGGAAGCCTGAAATCTTGAAAATGGAACTGCACACATATTTTTAGAGTTTGCTTGTTGAAATACAAAAGTAAAGCATTTCTAAAATGCTCATTTTCATCTCTGTAAACAGCAGGAATTTCATTCTTTCAAAGTCTGTAACACTTACCAGCAAACCACATAAAAGCAGACGAACAGGTGTCAGGGTTCCTCAGCTCTGTTGGTAACTGTATGGAAAAAGGTGAGAAGATGAGGTTCATCTTCAAGGCTAATGTCCAGATGTTTAGATATCAACATCTGTCTATACACCTATTGCTAAATATGTCTATATCTATCTTCTATCTATCATCTGTTCTTGCTTAAGTATATGCAGAATGGAAATGGTTAATCTATCTTCCCAGGGCTGTCGTACGGCATTTTCCCTCAGTGTTTCTCAACTGCAAGATTGATTTCCCTTTGTACATACACATATATGCCCATTTGTAAATATCAAAAATTAAATTGGTACCACATAAGTTTTATAATTTTAAGAGCACATTTCCCAGCTGCACCAAAGTAGCTATGAAGTTAAAAGTAGGGAAGCTAGGAATCCCATGGGCTTCTGGTGGGACAGAGGAGCCGATGCAGAAGGTACCATGCCAGACAAGACTACCTGAAACTATTTCTGAAGTGCAGGTATGATTTTTACTTAGGGCTTAACCTGGGATTTATTCTTCTCATCAATAAGTGATTAGAAAAATCAGTACTGCAAAACTCAAAGACTGAAATGTCAAATAAAAAATTTAGACTGATGACTTATCACAGACTGATCTTAGGGACAAGTATGACAAACAACGATAACAATAAAATCAATAACAACATCTTTACAAGTCCCAGGAGAATTATGGACTTGAGTAAAGCTTACAGTTTAAAATCAGAGGACATGGAAACTTCTACTAGAGAGGCCTGAACTTCAGGTCATTATACATGGAAAGACTGAGTAGTCTGTGTTTTTGATGAACTCTCTTACTAAAAGGAAGGTGCTGGGGCTGGGGAGACAGCTGTCAGTCAAGTGCTTGCCATGCAACCATATGACCTTGAGTTTGGCTCCCCAGAGCCCACACAAAAGCCAAACATGGCTGTGTGTCTGTAAGTCCAGTATTGGGAGTGAGGTTAGGAGACAGAAAACTCCCTAGAGCACATTGACCTATCCGTCTAGCTGAATCAATCAGTTCTAAGTTTAGAGAGAAACCTTGTCTCAAACAATGAGATGGAGAGCACTTGAGAAAGGCATACATGGTTAACCTCTGGATGCCATATACAGGCACAAACACATGTGCATGAATACATATACACCCCCCCCCCCAAATACACACCATCTCCGCTCCAGTTAATGTAACACAGACATAGAATGAGGACAAAGAGAGAAAGGAAGCAGAGGAGCCAGGTCAGGAGGACGAGAAGCATCAATAGCCATACAGGCAACATGTTGGCTTCTGCCAGCAGCTCAGAGATTATTCCACTACAAATGGATGCTAGAAGTTTGCAGTGGAAAAGAACTGTAAATTATGTTTATATTTCTCTGTGAGTTTAGTCAGTCTTAGTTAATTCTTTTTTATATAATTTATTTTTTCCTAAGTTTTTTTTTCATACAATATTTTTTTTCATATTCTTTCCTCTTCCTCAACTCCTCCCAGGTCCTCTCCACCTCCTTATCCACCTAACTACATGTTCTCTCTCTCTCTCCCTCTCTCAAAAAAGAAAACACAACAAAAAATGAAAAGCAAAGCAAATAAACAATAACAACAACAAAGAAACCTCAATAAGACAAAAAGTACCCAAACAAAAGAAAACAGCACTGAAAAATCTATAATGAAATATAGAGATATTATTTGTCATTCTGTGTAGAGTTCTGGCCTAGAATCATCTGAACTAAAAGTTGCCATCTGAACTCTGACATCCAGAGTGCATGCTTGAATGGTAGGAATTGCTGTCTATGAAAGTGTGTTCCCAATGGTTTGTGCAAACTTCAGATTACAGGTTTCAACTGATACTCACCATAAAACATTAAATGTTAAAGTTAAAAGCTTCCTTTTAAATAGAAAGAAAAGGGAAAATGATGGGAATGTTGTTCTGTATGCTATGAATGTGCATTGCTCTGATTTGGTTGATAAATAAAACACTAACTGGCCAGTAGCCAGGCAGGAAGTATAGGTGGGATAAGCAGAGAGGAGAATTCTGGGAGGATGAAGGCTGAGTTAGGAGAAGCCAGCCTGCTTTCTGGGGAGTAACATGTAATGGCACACAGGTAAAGCCACAGAACACGTGGCAACATATAGATGAACAGAAATGGGCTCTGAGTTTAAAAACTAGCCTAAGAACTAATGTAAGAGCTAGTCAGTGGTAGGCCTGAGCTAATAGCCGAGCAGTTTTAATTAATATAAGCTTCTGAGTGATTATTTTATAAGTGGCTGTGGCATCCGTGGGGCTGGGCAGGACCAGAGAAAACTTCAGCTCCAATTAAACATGATTATTTATTTCATTTAGGTGAGTCAATGGCTTCCACAGCATTATCTGACCAGTGGTTATTTGTATGTCTGCTCCTCACAGTACCTTTCAAAAGGACTGAACTGACCTATCCAGAGAGACAGCCATCAGAGTGGCTGACAGGCCTCAGGCCTCAGTACAGAAATGAGGTTAACATGAAGAAGAACCTCCTGCAGTTTACGAAACCAAGATCGATCCATTCAACCAGGGGGCAGAAGTAGAGGAGGAATGGAGACAAAGCTGAGGCTCAGCGACTAGGCAGGAAGTAAGGAAGCAGAAGGCAAGTTGAGCTCCCCAGGCAGAGGCTCTGAGCGGGCAGAAGGGGCAGTGCTTTACCTCTGTTGGATTTGAGGTCTTAAACATGCAGGGCTTCCATGGGACAGAAAGTCACCATGTTAAAAACTGACCATATGAGTGAGATTCCAGGGCTGGCTGGTCTTTAGATTGTCTACTCTTTTTTTTTTTTTTTTTTTTAAGATAGGATTTTTCTGAGAAGCCCTGAATATCCTGGAACTCGCTCTGTAGACCAGGCTGGCCTTGAACTGAGAGCTGTGCCTGCCTCTGCCTCCTGAGTGCTGGGATTAAAGGCGTGCACCACCACAGACTGTCCAGTGTGATTGTCTACTCTTTACTAACTATACTCCCCCATGAGCTTAGGGCCAATGCTATCCATGAATCAGGGTTTAAAGTCACCAGAGAAAGACTTTGCTCTAAATCATCATGAAGTAACCCATGACATATTGCCTTTATATGTTAATATAATGTACCTTAACTTCTGGCCTATCTGACTTTAGACGAAATTTTTCTCAATTAATTAAGGAAGCTAGAAGCTATAGGAATTCTAGCTCTTCAGTCTTTCCCTCTCTCTAGCAGATATCAAAGGCCACTCTGCCTAGCTCAGTGCTTGTCATGCCCATAAGTGTATGGCAGTAGGACCTGAGGCTGAAGGAATGAAATCAGATAGAATGTACTTCTAGATCTAAGTAAGTCATATTTTCATATAGTTAATTGTTTTATTTAAAATAATTTATAGGCTCACTGATCTAGCCAGGGAAAGTGTACATATCAAAACAAAAACCTATTTTGATTTTTTTTCAGAAGGACTTTTACTTTGCTCATACTTGAGATATAATAACATATATTGATGATAACAATTATGAGTGGGCTCTAAAACCTCCACAAATTAATAATATAATGATTATACTGTAAGGCTTCAACAGCTTTGAAGAACTCTTTAGGGGCAGTAGACACAGCCAAGCAGCAAAGCCATGGACCTTGCAGTAGACCAAGTGGCATGGTGGGAGTGATGTGAATCTTACATCATCGATTTGTACAACTGTCACTTCTACAAGCCTCACACTGTGTTCAAACGGATGAAGCAGAATTATCTATAAAGCTTTTGAATTCCAGTTTAGTTTCCAGCTAATAGCAATAGTTCCAGGAGTGGGGGAAACACACTTTCATCAAGTCAAATGAAATTTAATTGACTCTACTGAAGTGATTCCTTTTCATGGGGTCCATGCTGTTATTAATGGTGAGAATGTCTGTAACTTTGAGTCCCATCATCTATTTATAATCTAACAGCTTAAAGGTAGGGGTGGGATTAAATTTTTTTATATCATGGCAGACTCTCTTTCCATACTAGATTATCCACAGCACCAGGCTATTCTTAAGCCTAGAGAACTATGTTTAGTAGAAAATTCTTCCAGATTTCAAAACATCATTAGATAATCTTTTGCAGACAGAATTTCTAAAGGGATTTTTGACTTCAAGTCAAGGAATTCCTATTTTTCATGAGAGAAGTCAGCAAAAGGAGACATGGGGGTTTAAACAGGCTGAGGTCATTGCTTGAAGTTGAGATGACAGTCTGACTTGTAAGCAACAACATCAAAAGGTCTTCTGTAGAGGAATTAACGAGAGAGAAGCATTTGTTGGAGGAGAAGCCTGGTTCTTTCATTCTCTGTTTGTAACTCTGATGTCTTTAAGAGATACAGTCTAGCCCCTTTCTCTTACAGCCATCATGACTACTTGCCAGGTCTGGAATCCTTAGGCCTGTGATCTTCCTCCTTTACACATCCACATCACAACTAGAATTACTCTGACATCAACCCATGTGCCTACAGATGAGTGATGGTTACTCCATGAGAGGAATTTGTTTCCAAATGGCTTTGTCCTGATAAATACATTTTAGACCTTAGCAAGAAAACTGCAGGTCAGATCTGCATTCTTTGAATTTATTCCATATTTACATGTCCACCTTTCTCTCCATGAACTTTTAGTGATAACTGCCTTATCCAGGCACTGTACTTACTAGGATCAAGACATTTATAGAATGCATATATGGGACTGACATAAAACTAAACAAAATTAATGCTATTCCTTTAAAGTGTAAATTACACCTAAGAATAAAGTGTGGAAAAAAAACCATCTTCCAAGGGGAGGCACCTACCTGGAATCTTCATTTCAATGTTAACAAATATGAATAGATGTTTTTGTACCCAATGAACATTGCTCTGTGTAGTTGACACTGGTCTCGGTCTTCTCATGAAGTGCAAGCTAGAGTTGACCTCTGGTCCTCCTGCCTCCACCTCCTGAATAGCATTGGGCCTGTAGGTTAAAAGAGATGAGTAGTACATAACCGATAGGAATGGGAGAGCAGAGCACCAGAAAACGTGAGTTCACACAGTCCATTTAAAGTATTTTATACATATGGCATGGACCATGTGGTGGTCAGAGAAGCTACAGAAGCAAGCAGAGGATGGGTAATGAAGTAAGCCAAACTAAGAAAAACAGTTATTTGTTTGCAACCTAAAGATAATATCTTATGCAATAGAATAATATGTCTATGAAAACTAGTGATGAAAATCAGAGAGTCTAGTTAAATAACTGGTGTACTAATGCAGGAAAAGGATAACCAGAATTCAAGGTAGAGAGTCTAGCTAAATAACTGGTGTACTAATGCAGGAAAAAGATAGCCAGAATTAAAGGTACATGGGTGTTAGAGAGCCAAAGAGAAAGGGATGGGCGAGGAAAAGAGAGCAATTTGGTATCCACAGATCTGGGTGGCTCTTTATTGCGATAAGGTATAACTAAATGAATGGACCAAAACAGGAAGATACTTTGGGACACTTTGATTGTGCTGAGTGTGAATTTCCTGAGAGCTTGCAAGTGAAATGCCACACATGCATGTATACACACACAGAGAGAGAGAGAGAGAGAGAGAGAGAGAGAGAGAGAGAGAGAGAGAGAGAGAAAGAGAGAGAGAGAATGGGATTAAGAAGAGAAATTTGTGCTAATGATATTGTTTTGATAGCATTATTATTATTAATCTGTGAGAGGGATGGCGAAGAGCATCTTTCAGATCAGAAGAGAATTATGAAAAGACTCCTCATGGATAACAAAGTTTTAGATCAGACAGAGGGAAAACAACCCATAAGGAGATATAAAATGATCATCAGATTCAATCAGGGGCATGTCTCTGAAAATTAAGGGTAGAGAGTGGTAAGAAGTGATTTACATGTGGAACATGAATGACAGGCAAAGTGCATATAGGGTTAGTGATGTGAAATTCTTAGAGGACACTGTTGGTAAAACTTAAAATGTGCAAGGAAGCTGAGAAAGATGGGGTTGTGGGTGACCTTCAAGCACCTGCTCTGTCCGTGAAGAAGCCTGAGTGAACCACCTCTGACATAGTTACATCATCATTTTTAAGAGCACGACTTAAAAAATCTGTCCCTGGAAAGGAAGTTCCCTTTCCCTTGAAGATGGGTTTCCTTAGTCCTTTTCTGTAGCAGAAAAGGCAGGCTTTGCCTTGCTTCTTCTCCTACTAATAACATTAACCCAGCCCTTTTTCAAACACCGACTCCACTGGCTCAGTCTTAAGGCAGTTCTCTTTCCTCATTCTTAGATGACAGTGGATTGTGATTAGCTTCATTGTCCCAAATACCTGCTACCTTTACTCTTTTCAAATGCAGGTGCAGCAATTCTTAAGAAGAGGTGATGGGCACATCAATCTTAGTGCTTGAAAACCTCAACAGAGAATGGAGTTACAAGGAGGAGTGCTGGGAAAAGCTGAGAAGCAACAGTCTACAAGCCAGGAGAAAGAACAAGCTTAGGTTCAGTAGAGAAAGCATGGGGCAGCCAAGGACATGGTAATTCTTGGACAGGACATAACTGATCCTCATATCTGTTGCCAATCATCCTGGTATCATCCTCATGGCACAGGGCTGGCCTGAGCAACCAGCATGGAATTACACTGTTGCCTTTCAGACAAGTGAGTAAAGGTCAGATTATGAGACACATGGAAAATCTTGGAATTTTAAGTGAACTCCCATCACAGAAGCAAACTGGTGAGATATTTGAAGGTAGATCGAGTTTTAGATATATTGTCTGAATTTTTGAAAACTCAGTTGAGAGTCTAGGGAACAAATATGACTAACAGAGTGGGGATCTTGATCTTGGGAACTCAGCGACCAGTGATAACGCAACACCCGAGACTGTCTCCTGAGGTGGCACTCCTCAAAATTGAAGGTGTGCATGGATCAATGGGGACCTTGCTAAAGTGCAAATCCATGCCTGGGAAGTCTGCAGTGGGTCCTGAGATTCTTCCTGGTTTTGATGTGATGTCACAGCTGCTAACTATGGATAACACTCTGAGTAGAACACTTTCAAGACAATACTCCTAGTTGAGTTTCTATTACAAATTTGTGCATAAAAACCTATTGTCAGAAGTGCTGGCAAAGAAAGAAAGAAAGAAAGAAAGAAAGAAAGAAAGAAAGAAAGAAAGAAAGAAAGAAAGAAAGAGAGAGAGAGAG